GGAAAGAGCATAATTTGTAATAACTATCACCTCCACAACAAACCATTACCCATCATTAGTCTCCTGAGTCAGGTCTCTCTGTGCGTTTGTAAGTAAAACCATGTACATTTCATCTGAAAAGTTATACAGGACTCTTCTGGACTACACTCCTATTGTATCATAGTTACTTGTTCAAATATAGTATGGATTAAGAATGATCAAAAGTAATTAGCCACCAGTGGCTTTCCAAGAACCTTTCTAAAGCAAGCTCGAATTTGTAAAGCAAGTTCCTCCAAAGCCCCTTTTGTAAAGCAAGCCCTTTGTAAAACAAATTAGCCCAAAGTTCATGGACAATTTCTTAAATTGGCAGGTATTTGCATAGCGAGTAGACAGGTATTCGGGTAACTCGTGTTATTTGTAGTTCTGGCATACACTGGTAGCCCAAGAATGAACATTTCACTCAGTGCTAGCGCTTACTCCCTGCGTGTATTAACACACATGGGAAAGGACACTACCAGGACGCTCAGAACATTGCCAGAGCACATACCCTGCAGGCAAACACTTCATTCTCCAAGACGCCCACCTGCTACTGAAAAGTTTAGACAAAACAAATCCTGTTCAGTTTTACCCCATCCTCCTTAAAGCCAGTCACCAAACAAGCGCACACCTTTCAACACACGCTGCCTTATCTTGCTTTCCTTCCTGCCACATCGATGAGCAACATTTGCTCTGAATTGTCTTTAAAGTCGTTTAAAGAGTTGTGTGTTTGCCTTTAACAGTAGAATTAAACTCCATTAAACGGCCCTGAATTTACTTCAAGTGGTCACGATAGGAATAGAAGTGTGACATTTTCATTGACATTTTAACATTCCCTTCCATTATCAGAATGTCAAGGCGTTTGCCTTTGTTTGCCTGTTCACACGAATTCAGGAGTTTTCTGAGACGTCCACTGAAGGGCCATCAAAACCCCTGAATCGGCCTTGCTCTGGATCTGCAGATGTTCCCTGTTATGCTTCGCACAGAAAACACTCATATGGTGAATATTCTGGGACAAAGTAGGGTTCTGTGACCTGGACAAAGCAAAAATCCAGCTGCATGTATGTACACAGGAATAGAGAAACATATCTCATGGCACATAAACCAGCAGCTTGCAACTACCAAGAGGGCCATGGCAGACCCTCCATGTGCAGCCCTCCCATGCGAGCAGCCACCCATGCCTGGCTCCCAGCGAGGAGAGGATGCACCCGCCATGGAGAAGGGACGAGCATCTCTCACCCCCTCGTCCAGCCCGGGAAGTCAAGAGAAACAGGAAAACCACCACAGGCTGCTGCTTTCTGATGCTCTTCATTTCTCAGCAGAGGAAGCACCGCTCCAGCACTCAGTGATCACAGAGGCCCGATTATGGGTGCTTTTGGAACCAAGAGTCACAACTATTGCTTGTTTAAATACATTTCTGCATCCTCCTGCTCCCAAATTTATTTCTACATTAATGAATACATCCTCTGCAGTTTATTTTTGCTGGAAATCATGAGCCCCTGTCTCTTCTTAGCCCATCACATCTTTAAGCTTGCTGCTAGAGCTTTGGAAATACATGTTAGATCGATCGTTATAATTTAAATACAAATCTGTGGTTATTTAAATGACAAGTTTTATATTCATTTTAAATAACTACAGGTGCTTACTCCAAGCACTGCTCACGTAGGTAATTTATGATAATTTGCTGATGATCGCACACCTGTGTTTTTATCAAACTTGTATTTACTTCCGAGTTCTGAAGCAGAATCTCCAAGGCACTCAGTGTCTCATTAGCGTCACGCTGGGAGCCACGGGGTTCCTGGCAGAAACACCTCACAATTTTCCTTCAAGCCCTGCAAAGGTTTGTCCATGCTACAGCAAAAGCAACAGAAGTAAAGCTGAGGTGGGACACCAGACAGGCATCCCTCACCTCTGCTGACATTAAAGATGGGGACAACGTGGGTTTTTCCAAATTGGCAAAAGCCGCCGTGGTTCTGCTCCAGGAAAGGCGTTTCCATGTCGCCCTTTTCACATTTTCTTCTGTAAAATGAGGAGAGGCACAGAAATCTACAGCATTTAAAGGGTGACCGCAGCAGCACAGCACTGCTGCACGAGAGCCTTTGAGTGGGAAGAGCTTGGAAAAAAAACACCAAAACTATTTCAATTCACATATTAGAGACTTCAGATTCTAGAATTTAACTTTATATACTTGTTTCTTCTTTCATAATGTTATTTTTATATTCTTTTATACAAAATACCACCTCTTAGCAACCTGCTAGTGGTACATCTGTGCTCTACGGTGTTCTTCAAAAGTGTAAATACACTAGCAAGAAACTACACATGTGAGCAGTTACGTGTCAAAAACAAGCTATACAGCAAGATTAGGCAACGGTTGGGTTAAATTTCATTAATGATAAGGCTGCTGGGATTCAAATATTTCAACAAAGTATTTTATAATTTATCAATTTCATCTTTTTAATAAAGAAACATGCATATGGACAGTCCCACTAATACATTATATGCTTATACTATATTGGCTTCAACAAAGCTATGCATGAATATAAGGATACGCGTAGGTCTTGTCAGGAATGAGATATTACTTCATTAAAATGTTAAAGAAATTCAAATTAAATACTCAAGCTGCGTTAGAGGCCGTGAGCTAACCTACAGGCTATTTACACATACAAACCTATCTCAAGTATGATACCAAATTTAATTTCCAACCACTATAACCACTCTGACTGAGTTTTTATAAACTTTGGGCACAAAGACATATGCAAGCAATTTATCATTTATTTTACAGTGATAGACCAAAGGTGTTTTAGCGAGTTCTAATTTGTTGTATTAATTAAATTCAAAGAGTACAAGACTGCGGTCTCAGTGTAACTCTCACAAAAATCAGATCTTACACATGAGGCTATTTGAGGAAGTATCGTTTTGAATGAAGTATTTTCTGTTTCAAGGGCTTTTACCATTTTTTCTGGACAATGTACTTGTACATTAACCTTTCTTAACGCATTGGTTGTCAATTCCTCCTTCGTTCAGGTTGGGTTACCCATTCCATCACCGGCAGTTGCTGCCATATGCATACCCTGCTGTCATGGGCTGTTTGGACAAATAAATGCATTTATCCACTCAGGGGACAGAACTCAACTCACATCCTGAATCTGTGTGTATTTGCTGATAGCGGACAGCTATTACTGTTCTTTTATGTGTGTCAAAAGGGCTTAAGAACTTGAGTCCCAATGAAAAAACATGAGAGCTTTAGCAAGAAATAAATATTAACACCCATTTCTATGCTTTTTTGTGCACTATTCAGTATATTCAGATACAGTGACACACAAATCACCGAGTAATTAACCTGCTGATTACAAGAAGTAATCACTAATAAGCCATACAGCAGAAAAAAACCCAACAAAACATACTCCTAAAACACAAACCCCTTTTCTCCAAAGAACATGAAAACAGTTTCACCTGCCA